AAAGCAGGTTGTCATAAGGATGAGATCCTTAAAGTGATTATGTACCATTTAGAGTTAGAAGACAGAAACCTGTCATCACTAGCATTAGCTAAACTTCAGTCAGAAATGAACGGATATCTTGAATTATAGGATAAAAAATATAAAGAGAAGTGAGAAGAGAGAGATATAAAGATAAATGTAAAGATAACAGAGAATTGGAATTCTGAAGAGTGAGGAAAAAGAGAAATGAAAAGAGATATAAAAAGAAGAAAACATGGAATGGAAAGACAGGAGAAAGAAAGATAAAACTTATCTGTCAAGCCTGTTCTCACACCGGGATCTGACTTGTTCAGTATTACCATCAGTGCCTTGGAATGTCTTGAACCTAAGGGCTGGAATTTGCTGCTTGACCTGCTCTGCCTTTATGCCACTTCCCTTAAAACTCTTCTTTAAACACAATTCTTTGACCAGATTGCAGAAATTCCTTGGAATACCTCATTTTTGGCTTGGTGTTAGAAGTTTGCCTAACCACAGTGTGTAATAATTTTATTCAATTGGAATCAATTGCAATATTGTCAGCTTGTTGAGTTTTATCAAAGTTGAAGACGGAATATAGCCTATTAATTGTAAGAATCAGAAATGACAATGACAGAAAGTGAGGCCCATTGCAGGTCAAGCAGGATGGCTACTATATATAAAAAATACTTTCTTTATGACTTCTCAAACTGTCCCACATTGTTACCATGGATCTACCTTAGAAGTTTCTCTCTGCCTCATAATACACTGAGATCCTACAAGATTTCTTATTTTATATTAAAAAAAAATTATGGATGCTGAAGATTTGAAACAAAAATAGTAATTGCTGGAGAAACTCAACAATTCTGGCTGCACCTGTGGAGAGAAAGCAGAGTTAACATTTCAGTCCGGTGACTCTCTTTCAGAGCTTCTCTTACCTTAACTAGCCTGTTGAGGCATGCTAGGACACACGTCTGGGATAGATGGAAATTGAATCTTAGTCTCGACTGGCTATATTCATTTTTGGATGAACTACAGCTGTGTCATCACTGAAGAATAATCATTCCAATTTTTTTCCATGAAAACAAAAACTTAAGAAGTTTCCAAGAAGAAAGAAAATCCTTACAGCACTGACCTATCCCTTTAATAAGTTTTGGCTTACTGCTGAACATGTGTTTATTCTTAGCATTTTTCTAATTTCTAACAGACTTGCAGTTCTGGAATGCTTTGCGATGTTGAAGCTGCCACATAAATTCAAGTTGTTCATTGTTAATAAAACTAAGTCTGATAGCTCTTTTAATCTTCTGCTGTTCAAGTCTAAGAGAAAACAAGAAATTGTGCATGGTTGTGTTGCCCATGTCCAGCTAGGCCTGTGTGTGATGCCCAATCTAAAACAAATGTACTGACTCTTTAAAAAAAACAGAAATTGCTGGAAAAGCTGAGCAGGTCTGGTAGCATCTGTGGAAAGAAATCAGAGTTAATGTTTCAGGTCCAGTGACCCTTCTACAGAACTGATGTTTCCAACTAGGAAAAAAGTTGTTTTTTATGCAGAGGGCAGGGTAGCGAAAGGGGTAAGCAGTAAACAATAGATGGTGATAGAGGCCAAAGAGAGAGAAGAACAGTCGGACAGACAAAGGAATGAATAATAGTCAGCTTAGGGAAATGAATAGCCACTGATGGGGACTACTAGATGCTTACAATGGGTTGTGTGTAATAGCAGACAATGTGATAATAAGGCCTGGTATTTGAGGGTTCGGGTAAGGACATGGGAGAAGGTGCTTCAAGCCCTAAAATTGTTGAACTCGATATTGAGTCCAGAAGCCTGTAGAGTTCCGAAGCAGAAACTGAGGTGCTACTCTTCCAGCCTGCGATGAGCTACTTTGAAGCACTGCCACAAGCCTGAGACGGAGATGTTTGCCAGGGTGTGTTGAAGCTGCAGGCAACTGGAAGTTCAGGGTCTTTTTTGCGGACAGAACACAAGTGTTCTGCAAAGTGGTCACCCAGTCTATGCTTTGTTTCGCCAATGAAGAGGAGATGACATTGTGAGCACCGAATGCAGTAGACTAGATTGACTGAAGTGCAGGTAAAGTGCTGCTTCACCTGGAAGGTATGTTTGAGCCTTTGGATACTGAAGAGTGAGGAAGTAAACAGGCGGGTATTACACCTTCTGCAGTTGCAGGGGAAGGTGCAGTGTTGCTGTGGAGGTATGTTGGAAGTGAAGGAGGAGTGGACTAGGGTGTCCCAGAGGAAATGGTTCAGGTGTAAGGAGGGGACGGGAATATGTGTCTGGTGGTGACATTTTGCTGGAGGTGGCATTTTGCTGGAGGTGGTGGAAATGGCGGCTAATGATCCTCCAGATGTGGATGCTGGTGGAATGATAGGTGAGGTGTGGACACTGTTATGGAAGGGATGAGAATGGGTGAGGGCTGAAGTGCGGAAGATGAGTCGGACCCGGCTGTGGGCCTTGTCAACTATGGTGTTGAGGAAGAAGGTGGACATTTCAGAGGCTGCTTTGTTGAAGTTGGCATCATCTGAACAGCTACAATAGAGAGAGAGGAACTGGGAGAATGGAATAAAGAGCTTTACAGGAAGCGGGGTATGAGGATGTATAGTCAAGGTAACTGAGAGTCGGTTGGTTTGGAGTGGATATTGGTGGCCAGCCTATCCCCAGAGATGGAAACAGAGCTGTTGAGGAATGAAAGGGAGGAGTCCGCGATAGACCCAATGAAGGTGAGAGCCGGGTGGAAATTGGAAGTGAAATTGATAAACTTTTCCAATTCCGGATGACAGAGGAAAGCAGCACCAATGATATCATTGAGTTGTGGGTGGGGGCTAGAACAGGAATGGAACAAGGAATGTTCCACATACACCATAAAGAGACAGGAATAAGAGGGGTCCATGAGGTATCTATGACCACCCCTGTGACCTGATGAATGTGACAGGAGTTACAAAAGAAGTTGTTCAGAGTGAGGATGAGCTCGGCCAGGCGGAGGAGGGTGGAGTGGATGGGGACAGTTCAGCCCTTTTTTCCAGGAAGAAGCAGAGAGCCCTGAGACCATCCTGATGGGGGATGGATGTGTAAAGGGATTTCACATCCATGGTAAAGAGGATGCAGCTGGAGCCTGCAAACTGGAAATTCTGAAACTGATGTAAAGCATCAGAGGAATCATGGATGTAAGTGGGAAGGGACTGGACAAAGGGAGAAATACATCGAGTCAAGGTAGGAAGAAATTAGTTCCATGGGGCAGGAGCAAGCAAAAACAATGGGTTTGCCCAGGTAATCCTGTTTGTGGATTATGGGAAAGAGGTAGAAGTGAGCAGGGTTGGGAGACTATGAGCTTGGAAGCAGTAGGAACATCACCAGATAAAATGAGGTTAGTGACCATTGTGAACACAATGCCTGATGTTCGATGGTGAGGTCATGGTCCAGGGTGGGATAGGAGGAGGTATCTGAGACCTGGCGCTCAACCACTGCAATGTAGAGGTCAGTACGCCAGACAACAACAGCACCACCCTTGTCAATAGGCTTAATTACAGAGTCATGGTTGGATCTGAGAGCACGAAGTGCAGTCAATTCAGGGGGAGATAGGTTGGAATGGGTGAGGGGGGCAGAGGAATTTAGGCAACTAATGTCACGTCAACAGTTCTCGATGAACAGATCAAGTGCAGGTAAAAAACCAGAAGGAGGGGTCCAGGTGGAGGGAGAGAATTGGATGTGGGTGAAGGAATTTGTCAAACAGGGAGAGGACTCCAAAGAAATTGGCAAGGAGATGCTTGCAATGAATGAAGAGTTCAACATTATGTTGTGCCCAAAATTCATTAAGTTGGGGATGCAGAGGGATAAAACGGAGACCTTTGCTGAGTACAGAACATTCAGCATCAGAGAACAGAAGGTCAGAGGGGATAGTAAATAGTAAATCCTGTCCATCAAAGGAAAAAATTCTTCTTGTCCATCTATGTTCCTCATAATTTTATACATCTTAATCATGTCCCTTCTCAATCTCCTCTTGTCTAAGGAAAACAACCCCAGTATGTCCACAGCAGGCCAGGCAGCATCAGAAGAGCAGGAAAGCTGACGTTTCTGGTCTGGACCCTTTCTTCATTTCTTGTTATCTCAGACTCCAGCATCAGCAGTTTCTACTATTTCCCAGTATGTCCAATCTCTTATCATAACAGAAACTCTCCAACCCAGCCAAATCCTGGTAAATATCTTCTGCACCCGCTCCAGGGCTATCACTGCCCTCCTATAATGTGGATTCCAGAACTGCACAAAATGCTCTAGTTGTGGCTTAACTAGCATTTAATGCAGTTCCAGAACAACCTCCCCACTCTTAAACTCTATGTCTTGACTAATAAATGCAAGTACACCATATGCCTTCTTACCCACTTTATGCACATGCACTGGTGTACATGCGCACCAAGGTCCCTCTGATCCTCGCTGCTTCCCAGGGTCCTACCGCTCACCAAGTATTCTCTTACCTTGTAGGAAGTTCACCCCTATGTCAGAGTTAAGGACACATACAAATAGGATTGTAAAATGTTGGCCTTTCCAATGTCACTCATATCGCTAGAGTATTAAAAAAAATCAAACCTCAAGGGATGTCTGCAACCAGAGTTGTCTATACTGAGCCCCATGTGACTTGACAACACTAATTATGTGTTTTTATTTAAGATACAGTCCTTCATGAAGTCAGAATCTCCACTTAATAATAACCCGAATGAGAATGATTTTATTGCTCTCGTGACAGACTCTGTCATTTGTAGCTTTATTCCTGTTTGCATGTACACTACATTGAAAAAGTCCCTGCCATGTCACTGTCATCCATGCAGTGAGTAATTGGAAAGTCCCTGCTGCAGTTCCTGGGTGGGGGCGCTCGCGCTGGACACAAAGCGATCAGGCGCAGTGGGCGGGGTGTCTGCGATGACGGTCGGCGGACGCCGGCGGCGTGGTGACGTCACGCGTCGGGGACTTTTCGGCCCCCCCGCCCCTAACATCGACACACCTCCCCCACCCTGGGCTGGGGATGTCGGAGTCTGAAGACGGCGGAGCTTGTGTCGGAGTGGACAGCTTGGTGAACAGTGCAGCGTTTTATTTCTTTATCATCGTCAGTGCCAGCCGCAGCCGCCTTGTATAACCTGTAAGCCTCAACCCGCTCATCGATCCAGTCATGGCCGGCGTTGCGGCTTCGAGCGGTCACCGACCCAAAGCACAGCCCAGTAGGCCTCTCGCTGTTACCGAGATGGCCGCCGCTGCTCCCCGGTGGAAAGCGGACGCCAGCGGCCTAGGAGACATCAGCGACGAGTTCGCGGTCTGCAGCGATAAGAAGGATTATCTGGAGGGCAGCAAGGCCACCATCCAGGAACTTTTTAAAGTGGTCCTGGTCATCTCGGTGCCTCTGCTGGTTCGTTACGCGGTGGCGGGGACGGTGTCTCCTGGCTCCCAGCAAATCTGGGTGCAGCTGAAGGGGAGACGGGAACATGTGAGGAAAGCCAAGGTACGTCTGGGGTACCGGAGTGGGCCTAAAGGCCAACCCTCCAGATTATCTTTAGGTCTGCACTGGCAGAGGAGCGGGTCCGGAAATGTGTAAGGTTCAGGCAGAGTTGTGTTAGCTTTGAAAGTAAACAGTGCAGAGAATAAATTTTATTTTCCTTTTTTTGTTGTTGTAGCGTTTTGAGCAGGAAATTTAGGCTGGTGTTTCCCCGGACTTTGAGATATTGTTTATTGGGGACTTTTGGGTAAGGGGTTACTTTTGGGAGTGAAGGACTTTAATGGTTGAGTCATTTAGCTATGGATCCTAATTACTTTAAGAATGCAATAATCGTGTCCAGTGGGATGAAATCTATGTTAAAATCGATTTATTCCACAATATTTTGACTATACACAGTACAATTCCGACACTCTTGTGGATTTGTGGATGTGAGCAGCTGAACGCACTCTTTAGTGAGATTCTTTGCCTTTATTCTCCACCTGAAGATTTTAAGTTCTGATGCAGATTTATATCGATTACAGAAACAAAGTGTTGTAACTGATAACTTTGTGCTATTCGGGTGAACTTCATAATAGCTGTAATTACTGATTGTAACTAAATTGAACCCTGGAAAGAAACTCCCAAATCTCCAGATGATGTGAAATGTTGAATGTCTTTCTAATCCAAATCAAATGTGTTCTGTGGAATTCTCTTTGGATTACTTGATAGTGATAGAAAAATTCCACGGTTGCAACATTTGAAAGCCGAGCTCATATAACCTCATTTGGCCACTAGACAATTATTCTGTGGAAGGAAGTAGGCAGAGCATAATTTGTCTTAGCCAACCGTTTAGTTTAAATCTATATTTGTTTGAACTGGGTATCTGAACTTGCAAAACAAGTATTTCTGCTGAATTGCCAGGGGTTTGCTTTAATGTGTCATGTTGATGTTGGAATGTAACAGTGCTTTACTGTACATAATTTCTAATTTGTTTGCTCCATGCATGGTGTGTGTTCACTTTTAATGTGAAATAGATTTATAAATTTAACACTATTTTGAGAGACTACTATCAAGAACAGTAAGAAATTTGTTTATTAATATTTATTAATTTGTTGATACAAGGAAGCAGATGTCAATTTATAGAAAATGAAATCTGCATCTAAATTGGAAATTTTATCAGTAGAAATTATAATTACATACTCTATTTGCAAAGTGCATTTGGCTCAGTATTTGACCAGGTTGTGTTTTTCCAAAACAGCAAGCCCTATTGTGATACAGTGCAAAATCTACTGTAGAGATTTCTCTCCACTGTCTCCAATTTCATGTACTAACAATCCTAAACAGCCCAGTTGTATCTTCCCGCCAAGATCCATGAACAAGACTGCTGCAGTCGACCTGTTGTTTCAACCTGCTACTTTCCCACCTGAATTTATTTCTTCCTAGACATAACATCCTTTTCATTCCCTTATGCAGTCTCTTGCTAGCTCTTTCTGCAAGTCCTCTGGTATGTCATTTTGAACAATTTCCTGGTCCTAATTACTTCCTTTTTACAATGGTTGCCCAATCCCTCTATACCACCATCTCCCACTAGGACGGTTTCAATGCTCTCTGCTTCTTCCTCAAATGGAAGCTGAAAAACAGTCCCCCTCCTCAACCACACATCTCCTCCTGGCTGAGCTTTCTCTCACTCTGAATAACTTGTCATTCAACTGTACTCACTTCCACCAAATAAGTGTTGCTGTGGGTGCCTGCATGGTTCTCAGTTTTGTGTGGAATAATGGAACATTCATTATTCTAGTCCAACTGTGATCCCTTTTTAACTTTTTTTGTACGACATTGATGTCTACATCAGTGCTCTGTCTGGTTCTCGCAATGAATTGGAAAATTTCATTGACTTTGTTCACAGTTTCTGTCCTTACCTCACTTTCAACTGGGCCATCTCTGCCTTTTCTCTCCCCTTTCTTAGCCTAGCTCCAAACTCTCAGATTCCTACAGATATCTTGACTTCAACTTCTTCACATCTTGCTTGTAAAGGCTAACAAAAAACAGCAGGCATAAATGGGTCTTTTTACCTGTTGACAAGATGTAATAAGTGGTGTGCACAGGTAGCAATGCTGAGGTGTCAACATTTTATAATTTATACAATAATTTGAATGAATGGACAAATGATATAATTGCTAAATTTGCTGATAATGCAAAGATAGCTAGAAAAGATAGGTAGTAAAGAGGGCATAAGGAGGCTCCAAAGAGATATAGATAGGTTTACTGTGTGTGCAAAAATCTGGAACCAGAGTATAATATGAGAAAATGTAAAATTGTCCATTTTGGCAAAAAAGAATGAAGAAGCATATTGTTTAAATGGTAGAGATTAGAGCTCTGAGGTCTTGAGGATTTGGGTGTCCTAGAACATGAACTCAAAAGGTTAGAATGGAGAGACTGCAAATAATTCAGATCATCTGTGATCTTGGAGGATGTCTCCCAGCTATCAAGGAAGGAGATATCAGGGGCCTGACAGTAAGTTTCAGATTCTCTTTAGGGACAGGTGAGGTGGCAGAGGACAGAAGGGCTGCCAATTTTGCAGTATCCTTTCAAAAAAGGAATGGTGGGATAGACAAGGAAATGGTTGGCTGTTTAGTCTAACCTGAGTGGTTGCTAGATTAAATTATTACAATTCTGAGGGACAGAATATATTTGCACTTGGTGAGACACTGGTTCGTCAGTGTGGCTTTGATTAGAAGAAGGTCATGTTTGACAAGTTTGATCACATTTGTGGAGGTATCCGGGAGTGTTGTTAAGTGTAAGGAATTTGATGTAGTCTGCATGGATTTTAGCAAGGCTTCTGATTAGTTTCTTCATGGCAGACTGGTCAAGAAAGTCTTGATCATAGCCCTGACCTTTAAGTCCAAATCATTCAAGTACACATCAAAACAGCAAAGACCCAAGCATTGACCCCTGAGGAACCCTGCAGGAAACAGACTTTCAGCCACAGAAAATTTTTGATTCAACATGCCTCTTTGCCTTGGATCCCTTGGCTGTTACACTTATTAACTAAGGCATAGAGTACAAGAACAGGGAGGTTGTCCTGGAACTGTATCAAAAGCAGGTTAGGGCATAATTGGAGTTCTGCATGCGCTTCTGGTTACCATGTTTTAGGAAGGATGTGATTGCACCAGAGATGGTGCAGAGGAGACTTACCAGGATACTGCCTAGATTGGAGGATCTGATTCACAAGGAAAAATTGGAAAGGCTGGAGTTATTTTCCTTGGAATAGTGAAGGTTGAGAAGGAACCTGATAGAAGTGTACAAGATTGAAGGGGATAGGTATGGTGGCTAGGAAGGCACTTTCCATTACTGGAGCGGTCAGTAATCTGCTGGGCAGTGGGGGCATAAATCTAAGGAAAGAGGTGGAAGACTAAGAGGGGTTTTTAGGGTAAAATTTCACACCCAGAAGGTGGTGGGAGCCTGCAGGGCTATGGGCGAAGGACTGGAAAACGGGATTAGTGTTGTCAGTCTGTATTGAGTGGTATGGATGTGAGGGGCTGATTGACCTCTTTTGCTGTACATGTCGGTGTCTTAATCAATGGCTGCAGGCTCAAGGAGTCTTCTAATTTGTTTGTTCACATGTTTAGTGTGTTTCTCCCCACAGATGTTACCTGACCTGTGTTTTTCCAGCTGTTTTTGTTCTTAAGTATTATTTTCTGAATTGGTCAGCAGAAACTGCAAGGATCATTCCACCTATTCACATAAGCAGTTCAAAACCTTTTTGCACTTGATTGATTTTTGCCTACTCCGTCTCATAAGGAGGTTCAAGTTTTGAAAACTGGTCATAGTATTAATTGTGTATTATTGATTAACAGCCAACTGCTTAATATTTCCTTTTATGTTTTGCAGGAATATATCAAAGGTATTTGTAATCCAGAATTTCGTCAAATTGAGGGTTATCCAAAGGAAATGCATTGCATTTTTGCAGGAGCTAAAGGCTTGTTTCTCAAGTGTCTTATACAAGATACCTGTGCTGATATCTCCATGGTGAGTGCTGGAGTAATTGCCATTACAGGAGGTACGGAGGCAGTGATTATGGCAAAAACTCGAATACAGCAATTTGTGCAACTCTTCAAAGATAACCAAAGCATACCTAACAAAAGAGAATCTTCAATTAAGAGGAACTTCAAACGCATTATAGAATTACATGCCGATAAATATTCAATGGATTTGCTGCTCTTGCCCAGCACTGTAAAGGAGGAACTTGTGAATCTTGCTGAAGATGTACTGTATCATGAAGAACCTATAGATCTGACTTTAGAACTCGATGATAACTCACAAATTGTTAATCATGATACTTCTAACTCTTCCTCTGAAGGAAAATCTAAAGATCTGGCCTATTTTGAAGAAGCTAGAAGACAGGCCGGCACACCTGTATCTGAACTTGCTCAGCAAATGAACACTATGCTTACACAAGTAAGTCAAAACTCACTTGGTCCAGAAATAGAGCAAAGATCATGTGAGGCATCATCAACAGGCAAGGAGAGACTATCGTGCAAAAGAAGATCATCTAACAGCGAGGACAGACATACAAAGCGCCAGTTTTCGGGAGATGTTGATGAATTTGCAGCAGATATCACAACTAAAGTGCTTTGTACTAATTCAGCCACTGAGCCCCCTGCATGCAATGTTTACTTAATTGGACAACAGGATAACCAAATTGAAGAAGACTCAACAGTTACTACTCCAGAAATGGAGTTGAACATGCTTGTAGAATTTTTCAGAACAATGGGTTATCCCGATGTTATTATAAAAAGAGTAATTGGTGAAATGGGTCAGAATGAAGAACCTATGTTATTGCTTAAAAGAATTATTGAAGAAAGTAAACTTTTGGAAGAAGAACAAACTAATTGTGTACAACAAGCTGCTGGTCCAAGTAGCGCTCATGTGAGTTCAATACAAGAATCAAAGAATAATCCACAAGTGGAGATACCTGGAACTTGTACTGCAAAAATTGATCAAGTTGAAGAAAGTGAAGCAAAATCAAAATCAGTAGCCAGTTCTTCACAAGACCAGTGGAAAAATGAGACACTTGAAGAACACTGTCGTCCTGTAGATGAAACATTTGTTACTAATGCCAAGGATAACAAAGATGAGGCCTTAACAAAGCCTGCCGCAGCCAAGTCAAGTAATGACACTGCGAATTTTCACTCAGCCAAGCATTTCAGCAATGACTTGGTTACTGAGAGGAGATTGCTAAATGAAAGTGATATTGTAGCAAGAGGCAGTTCTGAACAGCCACTTTTGCCTGCATGTTCTAATCGTCACGTGAGTGCTTCAGTGACTGGAGTTCAACGGTTCCATAATTTACTGAAAAGCCCTTACAAACTAACTCTAACAAGTGATCCTGGGAAACCAAATTTGAAGCATGTTATAATTGATGGAAGTAACGTTGCAATGGCGTGAGTGTTGTTAAATTGTCTTCAGATTTGTCCATTACACAGCATTTGGCAAAATTTTAGACAGTTTATCAAAGTTATGGAACATTTTTTTTGAACAAGCTTTGAATAGTACTCTGGCATTTAATCATTCTACTGCAGTACTTACTAAATGTCACATTGCTGGGGGTATGTTTACCAGAGGAGGCTGGGTTCCATGTTAATGCTAAACATTCCATAGTACTATTCCAAAGAAGTGCAGTGTGTTTCTCTGGTCAAATGGCTCCCTTTAGCAAGCTACATTAAAAATAATTTTCCCTGTCACTTGAGGTATTGTGTGTCGAGTAACTGAAACTAGGAGCCAGATTTTGAGTTATTATCTCTCAAAGATAGCCATTCTGCTCCTTCATTATGCTAAGAAAGAGCTCCACATTTCTGAAAGGAGATTCTGATCAGAAATGCAGAGGATATACTTGCATTTTGCCTGGTCCATTGCATAGGACAGTCAAGGAAGGCAAACCATACCCTCTTTTTCATAGCCATTAGCTGCCATGTTCTGAAATTTAAAGGGTCAGAATCTCAGGCAGCCTTTTTGACAGCTGCTGTCAAATGGTAAATTCCTAAGATGTGTGTGTTCAGGGCATAAGGGGTCCTGCTACGTAATGGACTGTTTAGTGTAGGTCAGAGTAGGTGTGAGATCATCGGGTCTGGAGTAGGGACATTTGGAACTCCGATAAGCTCTACTTGTAGGTGTGGTGTCAGGTCCCATGTCAGAGTGGATGGTGGGTGATGAGATAGGATAGTAGCAAGTTTAATAGTTACTTAGGAGTTAATTGTCCAACTTTCGCTGTGTAACTATTTGCTTGACTGCATTGGAACCCTCCAAATTCTATTTAAATGGATACATTTGGAGGTGACCAAGGCTTGAAGGAAATGACATGTATTTTCCAATTTCCTAGACAGATCCTTTGGCGTCTGCTGCAGCGGGATTCTGCAGCATCTCAATGCGCAACTCCCATCTATGTTTCAGAAATGATTATCTGGCCATTGAAAATTCTGGGTCAATGTGTTTAAGCCCATTTTTTCAAGTCCGTATTTGCATGTTATGTGTGTTGATTTGTTTGAAAGTGATGTATTAGCTAAGCAATTTTAGAGTCACAGCAAATCTATTTTCGCTACTTCTGTCATGCAATAGAATTAGCGTATAAACAGGCTTTGCCTGAGGATACCCTCTTGAAGCTGTGAAGTACTGGCCATCATAGCACCCCCTCCTCGAGCCATTGGGTAGTGTTAATTTTTATTGGAACAGCAATAAGGCTGCTTTGCTTGCCTTGCCAATCTATTTAACTCTGTCTGATCTCTATCTTTGATCCATCCTTTTTGCCTTGGTTCTGTACGGTTTATTAGCCTTGCCCAGCAAAAGTATATACATCTCAGTTCTGACATTTCATGACAGACCGTTTTCTTTTTGGACAGGTGGGCAGGGAGGGAGGTAGCTTCATGCTGAATAGCCTCACTTCAGTGAAAAGATTATAACCCTGATGGACTTTCTGTCCAGATAAAGTAGCCCCTTTTAGTTTATATCTCTCCACCTCATCCAGCTACTCCTTTTATATTATATAAAACCGAAAGAACTGCGGATACTGTAAATCAGGAACAAAAACAAAGTTGCGGGAAAAGCTCAGCAGGTCTGGCAGCATCTGTGAAGGAGTAAACAGAG